AAACTGCGCCTTCTCTCTGTGCTTCTTTCTTTTTTTTTTTTATTTTTTTTAAATTAATTAATTAATTTATTTGCGTCACTTATTTACATTACTTACATATAAAGCATATAGATACATGATATACATTGCTACTATACAGTAATTACTTAACAGTCCAGATATATAATACAGAGTAGCGAAAGTTACTTAAGTAGTTTTTGCATACTCACGCGCACACCCACACACGCACACACACGCACCACGCACGATTACTGATTATCCGCCTAGAAACGTCCTGAAAGAGCCTCTAGAGAGTTAGCGCGATTGCTGTTCTCCGTACATCTCGACAAAGGAAATAAGACTAAAGATCATTTTCCTGGATAAACGCTCCCCATTTTGCATTGAAATTTCTTAAAGTCCCAGTTTTAATGGCATAACGTCTTTCATAATCAAGACAATTTAGAAAGGTTCGAAAAAAGAGTTCCCATGAAGGGTTAAAGCCTTTTTGGTTTGAGAAATAGATGTGATACCTCGCGATTAAAAGTGCATGATGGAAAAGCAGGTTTGTAGTATCGTTCACGAGGCCTATGCAAGTCAAAAAGGAGAATTCTTCGTTAAGAAAGCAAGAGCTTTTTTTCATCCAGTTACTGATTTCATTCCAAAAAGATTTAACGAAAGGGCATTCCCAAAAGAGGTGCAAAAGAGTTTCCGAGCTTTCTTTACAGAAACTGCATTGATCATTGGATTTGATTCCAATTTTAAAAAGGAAATAGTTCGTTGCCAATTTTCTATGCAGAAGTTTAAATTGAAATACTGGTGAACTGAGTTGTCTGAGCCATCTAGGATCAAGGTTGTATCATCTGCGTATTGACTTAGTTTACATTCTGTGCCTAAAACACAAATGCCTTTGATTTGATCGTGGTTTCTTATGGCATTTCCTAGTATTTCAACACATAAAATGAATAAATACGGGGATAAAGGACAACCTTGTCTGACACCTCTAGTAAGATTGAAAAAGGCGGAAGACCAACCGTTATTTTGAATGCAGCTGCTTACATCATTATAGAATAATTTAACCCAGGTAATCAAGGAGTCACCAAAGTTATAATAGCGGAGAGTTTTTTCAATAAAGTTCCATTCCAAAGTATCGAAGGCTTTCTCAAAATCTATAAAAAGTAAAATGCCAGGGATGTTCTGGCTTTCAGCGTAAGTTATTATACTGTCTATTAACCTAACATTTTCCCCAATTGATCTACCTTTGAGGAAGCCCGTTTGATCATTGTTTATCATATCAGGTAACACTTTTTTTATTCTTGCTGCAATTGCTTTTGTTGCAATTTTGTAGTCGCAGTTTAAAAGGCTTATAGGTCTCCAGTTTTTTAGATGCTGTAGCGGTTTGTCTTTCTTTGGTATCAGGGTTATCAATCCCCTGCGCTGCGAGATGGAAAGGTGACCCTGGGTAAAAGACGAGTTTAAAGCGGCGAGTAAAAAGGTAGACAAATCGTCCCAAAAAACTTTATAAAATTCTGCTGGAAAACCGTCCGTCCCAGGCGATTTACCCGATTCCATTGTTTTTAGACTCTCTAAGCATTCCGTTGCTGACAGTAGGCCTTCGCAAGATTCTTTTTGATTATTACCTAGCTTTGTTTCAGTAACCTCAGGGAAAAAAAGATTATCATAATCACTGACATCAACACTTGTAGTCGTGTAAAGATGCTCATAGTAGTTTTTTGCTTCGTCTAGAATCTCTTCGTCCGTCGAAAACTTCTTTCCATTTGCGCTTTGGAGGTACCTAATGGTTTTATTATTAAAGTGCCGCTTCTCCAGATTATGGAAATATTTTGTATTCTTTTCTCCTTCATTATACCATTTCACTTTTGATCTAAGAATAGCCCCTTGAGTTTTGTAGGCGATTATTTCTTCTATTAAATGTTTCTTAATTCTGAGTTCAGTCCGTATGTTTTCTTTCACTATGTCTGATACGTTACGTTCGTCAAGCTTATTCTCGAGTGCTAAAACTTCTTCTTCTAACTGATTTTCTCTATTTTCCAGACGCCGTTTCCTGGCTGCGGCATAATTTAAAGAGGCTTCTCTAATTTTCATTTTGATGATGTCCCATAATAAAATCTCGTCAACTTCACTCTGGCCTTCATATTCCTTACACACATCAGCGATAGTTTTGCGTATCAACTCAACGTATTGCGTTTCAGTTAAGAGGTGTGTGTTTAATTTCAATAACCTGGTCCTCTGGGGTTTCGGGCTGTGTTTATGCGAAATGTAATCATCGAGTGGTCTGTTCGGTAACCGGGCACTATGTCGGCTTCCGTGATCTCTGGGCAAAGAGAAAGACTAATGAGGAAGAAATCTAAGCGGCATTGGATCTCAGGGTTTTCCCTTCTCCACGTAAAACGCGTGGCCTCAGGGTTAAGTACGCGCCAAATATCAGCCAATTCGAAATCTTCTCTGATAGCCTCTACTTCATCTTTAGATTTCAAGTGTGTTGTGGCAACACCCCCTTTTTTGTCTTTAGAAACATCACAAACTAAATTGAAGTCGCCACCAAAAATTACAAAAACGCATTCAAAGGAGCACAGCTTCTCACGTACGTTTCTAAAGAAGGCTGGGTTATCCTCATTAGGCGCGTAGACATTTACTAGTGTCATAATTTTGTCCCCAGTATCTATGTCTGAAATAATAAACCTCCCTTCGGGGTCAGCAAAATGTTTCAGAATTTAAAATTGAAAATTGTTGTTGAACAGTATAGCAACACCTGCCCTAGAGCTTGAGAAGGTTGTAAAAATAGTTGAATATCCCCATTCAGAATGCCAATAAGATTCTGTCTCATTTGTGCTACACTGTATGCACCTCTGGCAAAAAGTAAATACAGAACTTTTTTTCTTTAACCATAAAAACGTTTCTCTCTGTTTAGTTTGTTTGACAAACCTTTGACGTTTAGGGAGCAAATTACCATATCAGATTACATGATTAAAAGGTGTGAAAGGAAATCCTTTGTTGAGAGTGTTAGGGGAGCAGCTATGTAATTTAGTATTGTAACTACTAGGCCTAGATATTTGCAAATTGTACAAGGTACATGAAAAGGATGGACAATAACACACAGAAGAACATAAACCAAGATACGGACACATATTACAGTAAGAAATCCTTTTGGGTTCCGTCACCTTTGGTAATAGCCTGATCGATGTTCCTATATATAGAACTCCCTGACATCGTTATACATAAAAGTTGAAAAAAAAAATAGATGGAAAAGTTGTTGCAAAGAGATTATTTAGCATTCGTGGAGAAAAACTTATCATTGAAAAGGATATCACTTTATTGGTTCACCAGGGGCAATGTACTTTCCATTGGCAAACAGTTTGTTGGGCTGAGCTTTACTAAAGTAGGTGGTAAAGCCTTTTTCCCTGGCTTTCTGCAACTTCTTCATTTGTCCTTTCCTCGAGTTGTACAGCAAATTTGGGATGTCATCGTAGACGTGGAATTCTGTGTCCTTCAGATGTTTCCAGGCCTGATCCATCACTAGTTCCTTATCTGCATAACACAAAAAACATGCAATAATCGGACACGAGCTTCCATTTTTCGATTTTCCTAAGCGGTGAAGCCTTTGGAATTCAATTTTTTGTCGCGCATTTGGAATCTTTAGTTGATGTTCGAGAAATTTATAGATAATCCCTCTTGTATCTTCTATTTTTGCTTGCGCGCCATTGTGATCTTCGTCACCACCATTCATGTTGTCAACTTGCTCTTCTAGCAGCCCCACAAATTTTACATTTTCCCTCCTAGAGTAAGTCTCCATGTAAAGAAGTTGTTTCTGGAGCTCGCAGACATCCTGTTGTAACTTTTGGTTTTCAAGTTTTAAGTCTGATATGTCCTCCTCATTAAATTCGATGCTTTCTTTCAATTCATTGACTGTTGAGCCAAGCTGTTTGGACTTTGTTTTGAGATCTTCGACATCCGAGTCCAGCCTGCTTACATTTTCTTCAATACTTGCTAGTGTTGTGTGCATCTGACTCAAGCGGCTTTCAATAGTATCAAGCTTTTCTAACTTCTTAAGTACAGCTTCAAGCTTCGACCCTACACCTTCCGCCATTTCTAAAGCTTCGAACACTTCGTCAGTCTCCGATGCAGTTGAGTGTGCCTTTCCCTCGTCTTTCGATTTTTTTTCATCTGGAGATGGCAAAGAATCTTTGGAAGCTTTTGACCGGTTTTTGCGTTTGCCCAGCATTAAAAAACTATAAATTTTCCACGGCGATTCAGGGAGCTCGGCGAAACACGTTTACTCTCCCATGTTACCAGTCCCAGTCCCCCCCTTTCTTGCTCCCTCTCCCGTAGCTCGTCAGTAAAATTGCGCCTCCTTTCTCTGTTTCTTTCTTGCTCCCTCTCCCGTTGCTCGTCAGTAAAATTGCGCCTCCTTTCTCTGTTTCTCTCTTGCTCCCTCTCCCGCTGCTCATCAGAGCAGTTTCGTCTCCTTTCTCTAGCTCTCTGCCGCTCCCTCTCCCGTTGAGCTTGGCTTGCTTGCCGCCTACTTTCTCGTTTTCTCTGTCTTTCTCTATCTCTGTACTCCAAACTAGAGGACATAATCAATAAGATATCAAGAACTGCGGAATTGCGGGGTGCTCAACCGATACGAAAAATTTCTTTTTCTTCTGAGTTGACCTCGCTGAAGTTTTCAGTTGTTTATGCTTCACGAAACGCGGGCGGCCCTTTGTTTTCGCGCCAAAAACTATGCGCTCACAGCCTACCCGAAATTTTGCATTGGTTTACCTGTGGTGCGGACGGACGGTCGGTCGGTCGGTCGGTCGGTCGGTCGGTCAATTTCCATTTGTTTCGGGAATTTTCCAGTGGGACGAACCAAAAAATCGTTTACCATTTACATCCCAACTGGAATTTCCGGGAATTTGTAATAAATGGTAAACAACCCAGTTCACCAATATTGGAGCCCACATTCCAGATACAGTTGGGGCCCGCGGATTCCCAACAAAACTAAACGTGGCCTTGTGGAAAACATGGCTGCAGGAGAAATCGCGGTTGTTTTTGTTATTTTATCCACTATTTCTCCAAGCCTTAGCGACAATGTGATTTCACTCACAGATGTGGATTTCGAAGACAGAGTGTTCGGCTCGTCCACGCATTTTATAATGTTTTATGGACCTTGGTAAGTGGAGGGTGGAATATTGATACACAGCGATCTTGAAACACCAAACTGACGATGGGTCCTACAACACACCTGAAGTAATTCTGTCCTGGGACAAATTCAGCATGGAAAGAAGAGCAGAGTTTTTTAACCACGCTTTTATGAAATGCGCTGCTAAAAGTTTTTGAGGTGTATAAGTTGGTCCCTGGTTTACTGATTTGGCCCACATGAGAATTTAGCCTTGCCCTGTTTTTGCCATTGAAGTAAACTTACAATATCTTGAAAAACGTAAGTTTATCAGCTTTGAATTTTGCCCTAGAATACCAGTACAGAAACCCTGAAATGAACAACACCTATTGGAACTCAAGTCACTTGCTGTGATGTTTTCATCTAGCTTGCCAGGGCTTTGTCATCTTTTTCATGGTGAAATAGTTAACAATAATTATTAATGAATGAGGCTGAGTATCTTATCAAGAATTATGGAGATCGAGGAGGGTGTTATGGCCTTGACAGATAACACCCTCTGAGATCTCCATAATTCTTCATGTGATACAAAAGCTGTATTCAATAATTGTTTTATTATTCATTCAAAATAATTCCTAGTTTGAAAACAAAGTGAAAACATGCTTACCTCCATCGATGTTAAGTTCACCTTCGATAGGGCATGTTTAGGGTTGTTCAGCTCTGCAAATATTCTCCAAATAGCAGATGTTGCCCTTCGAGTTGTGTTCTTGCTGTTCTTGGCATGCTTTTAGCTATAATTTCGCCTAGTTCTTACTCTTGAAACGAGTGAAATGTCTGCCATTTTTTGTTTTCACAACCAAAACAACTCAACCCCAGGTCTTCTCGGTTAACGGTGCATTAACCTGCAAGAACGCTGCATTTTTGACGTCATTGCCATTCTTCCAAATTTGGTCACCAGTAACTGGTTATGGTGTATTATGCGTGTGCTTTTAGCCACTCAGAATCGGGGAAATAATTATTTTGAATGAGTAATAAGCATTATAAAGCCCTAATAAGGTTTATTGGGGAAGGGATGCTACTGAAAAAATTAGGTCCTGGTGTTGGGCAGCATAGTTTTTAAACTATTATCCAACCTCCTTTCCAGGGTTCTTCCTACTCTCACCTCTTTCAGGACCTCTAAGGAGAAAGGGGGGGGGGGGGGTGGCATTGTCCCTTCTGTCTGAATGTAAATATGGTCGTTTCACATTTTGAGGAGTAGTCCATGTCCTTGTCAGTGTTTTACTCATCTTAAGGTCACTTGTTGCCATTTCATCTAGTCTCTAGCCTGTGGGGAACAGACACTTTTTTTGGTTCTCTTTTCACCTGCCAAAAAAATAGACGAAAAAACGTCTGCTCCCAGCAGGCTATCTAGTGTTGTGTTGCTGTTTCAAGGCCATGTTGCTTGTGGGAATTTTTACCCTAACAGGGTCCTCGTTCCTACTCATTCCTCTCTTGCTCTGCAGGGAAAAGTAGGAGAGAACACTAGAAAGAGGTTGACTATTAGCTCATTTCAGCCAAAAAATGTGTTATATTTGCCCACCCAATTTCAGTCCACTCTCTCACAAGTGATAGCTCCCTGTTCATACCCCTTGGCATCTGAGTTGCCTTTCAGTGGACTATCTAGTTGGATGAGGAAAATTCACATGGGGGGCAGAAAGCGAAAAGCGTGAGCAAAGGGTGCACATATCATCCCTCATGCTCCCTTTGACTGCACTTCTCTTCTTAACAATAGGAGACTTAGGGCCTATCTGCACTAGCAAAAAAGCTTTTTATTAAGACAAATTTTCTGTCATCACCAACGCTTAACAAATTTGGATGGTTTGTCTCGACTTTACAAATTTTGTCCCAGACAGGAAATCTTCAAAGGCGCCTTGGACAAAATTTATCTGTGTAAAAACTGGACAAAATTAACTAAATAAACAAGGATGTGTTTTTCTTGTCAATCATTTGTTGTAAAGCCATTCTTTCCATAAACAAAGTCTCATCAAATGTAATGGCCTGATAAGAGTAAATAGTTTCCCATGCAGATACATTTCTTCAAAACGAAAATTGGCACCATACAATTTTTCAGTTTAGATGTTCCATTAAGACCATTCCGAGTCTGTCTGCTAGTGTGGAAAGGCCCTGGGCATGAATCTGCCTTTGCATACAAAGCTTCCTACCTGCTGGTGGGTCATGGTGTCCTGTCAGTAAGAAATAGTTGTGGTAATTAACTTATTGAGGCAAACATTTTGATGATGACCTCGTCGAGTTATTCTGTTTTTCCTTTGTTTTGTGTACAAAATGTAGGTGTGAGCACTGTAAAAATTTCATGCCAACATGGAATTTGTTAGCTGACCACTATGGGAAAATTCCACATAACGAGCTCATAACAATAGCTAAGGTACAGTGTACTTGAAGTTAGATACAGAACCTTTCAGTGACTACTGTAAAACTCGGAAAACTGTAAACACCAGAAATATTTCTTGAATGTTATTGTGTTGCAAGGAAAAAGTCAATCAAGGGTAAGAAATCCAAACCTCAAACAACAACCATAATTTAGTTTGTGGTTTTGTGGCTTGCATGCATGTTCTGATCTTTGTTGTGATTGGTCAAAACAGAGTGAACATTTCTGAAGTATTTCAGCTGGTTTTCACAACTGTTTGAATTTCACAGCAATCATTTAAGTCTGGGTAAAAAGTTATTCTAAGTATTTAAACTAAAGTATCTGCTCGTAGTTGTAAAATTTTGTGGTTGAATTTTATCCGTGGCTCAAATTCTAATGTTAAATTTGGGTTTGGGTATGTTAGGCCCGGTTCAGACACCAATCTTTTCATGAGCCAAACTTAATTTGAATTAATAAGACTGACCCAAATTATTTAGACCGGCTGAATTGATTCAGACACAAATTTTAATTGCAGCTGCACTAAGTTCAAAATGCAAAAAATGCTCATTTCAGTCAAACTGCTTACAAAATACGTTATAATAATCTATGCATTTGGTTTGGTATATGAAAAGTTTTGCTTCTGAATCAAAGCCTTTCCAAAGTTGCTCCAAAGGCAACATTCTCGGCCACACTAGGCGAAAAGATCGACTGAGCCGTTCCAAATTGAAACAGGTGTTCCTAACTGATTCAGACGCCAAACTTTTCATGTACTTAATTCAATGTATTAGGTTTGGCTCTTAATGTTTGGCATCTGAACGCGGCCTTATTGTATTAGCCTGCACAGCATGGTGGTTTTGTTTGGGCATGCAAACAAGCCTTGGTGGGCAACCGTGGGCAAGGGTGGTAAAACTGTGAATCGTGCGCTGGACAAAACTGCCATGTTATGCAGGCTAATATTATATAAATAATCACTTCAAAACAGGGGACAAAGTATTTATTTTATTTACATGTAGACATTGAACTGCAACATATATACATGATTATATTGAAATCCATTGGTACATTTTTTTCGTAGGTGGACTGTACAAAAGAGACTCCACTCTGTGTAAAACAAAATATTTGAGCATATCCAACGTAAGTTGTAAGAAAAACTTAATGTAACTCTCCAGAAAGCTCTGTGTGCGAGACAGATGTGTAAAACATGTTAAAGCTTGTGTTAGCCCTCTCAAAGGAAACCCAAGGCTGGCCTGTATAATGTAAGGAGTGTTTTAATATTATTTGCTGTTGATTATTTCTTTTCAAAGGTTAAAGCTGTATTATGATCAAGGTGAAATCAAGAGATATAATGGCAAAAGACGTATGAATGATCCTAAAGCTCTTGTCGACAAATTTGCTGGGACATCTGAGGTATATTATCTACTTACATTTAACTTGTGAATTATACCCTGTGACTTCCTAACTTCATTCCCTTCAGTGAATGTTAACTGTTTTTTCTGACATAACTCTTAGACTCAACTCCTAGACCACATTATGGAGACATCGTGGCTGAGTGGTTAGAGCGCTGTACTTGTAATCCATAGGCCTCGTGTTCAAGTCTTGCCCTGACTGCTAGCTGGATTTGTTCACGGTAGTCCCGAGTTCAAATCCTTGGCTATGCTTGTAAAATAGCCAACTGGTTTGCCGCCAGCCAGTTGTAATTTTTAACCTTGTTATGTTCCACTTGAATTTGTTTTTTTCATTATTCCTGAAAAGCCCCATAAGGGGCGAGAGGATAATTAAGTATTTTATTTAATATCCATTTGTTATTATTTTGTCATTCTAACTTGTAAATCTCTGTGCCCGATGCTATGGCATTTCCATTCAAATGATTAAGCTCTTTGGTAGAGATCTTGTGTTGTACTAGTAACTTCTTAGAATTTTACTGATTCTTTTTGCTCACTGTTAAGAGTGAAAGGGTTACCATTTAAGCCCTCATAGTGGCCAGCATCAAATTTCTCCAAACAGTATCATCGCCAAATTCAAATGTACAGGTATAGAGAATGAATGAAATGATCAGCACTGATAAAAAATGTCTTGATATTTGAACAGTACAATAAGTATCATATGGAGAACATTGAGGAGAATATACATGTTGATATCAAGGCTGAAAGGGGTAAAGGAAATTAGTAAAATCCAACTACTGGTCTATTATCAATGCTGTATTCTGATTGGTTGAGCTACTAATAGGCTGTTTGGCGGCAAAAAGGGATTAAAGTCTAGCTTTAACTAGCTAAAGTTGTTTTTTCTTGATATTTTTGACCAACTAGTTGTATTTTACTAAAACAATTTATTAGCTATTTATTATTCCTCTTGCCCTCATGGCCTCTGAGTCAATAGCCCATTTGGCCTTTGGCCTCATGGGCTATTGACTCAGAGCCCATGAGGGCTCGAGGAATAATTGTTAATTAATAGAGACTTAAAGATGCCATTTCCGTTTAAGTGTACACTGGGTAAATTGTGCGTACCAGTTTAGTTGCAGAGGTAGACGTCCTCTTACCCTGGAGAAAGGGCTTAATTTGCTTTCTCTCAGAATCGTATCTGATCATGATCCTTTTCATCTACAACTGTGACAGAAGGAGAGTGAGTCAGCAGACACAGCTGAGGCAGACAATGGCCAACCTATACACACTGACTTCAGAGAACTTTGACAAACATGTGGAAATTGGACTACATTTTATAAAGTTCTATGTGCCATGGTTTGTAGAGTCAAGGATAAAGACTACTTTTGGTTTTGCTTTCCTCTTTGCTTTGTTCTCTTTTTGCATCAATTCAGTGTTTTTTTTCTTGACTGTCTTTTTTATCAGGTGTAGCCACTGCCGCAAGCTTTCACTCACATGGAAGGCATTGGCTGAATATCACAAAGACAATATGGACATCACAATTGCTAAGGTGCAGTAAAACACCGCAGTTATGTCTGTTTATTTATGTTATTTATATGTTATAATTCACAAAGGTTTCCCATCACTATGAATGTGCAAAAAAAAGTAAATAATAAAATAAAATGATGAATAAAATCAATGAGGGAGATTTAAACAATTAGTAACGGCAGATTTAAATGCGTCCACGGAAGGCTGATCTAATAAAAAGGAAGGTAAAGTGTTCTGTTACAAAACAGGTATTAGAAGGCGGGGAATTGAACTGCTAGAAAGTTTTTTGGTGCCTTTTTCCTCTGAAAGTATCCTGGAATAAGACTTATAATAGCGGAGTATCTTTGGCCCCTGGCTATCAGTGACTGGTCACCTCATGTTTTTTTTGGTCTAAAGCTCGCTTTTACCATCTGCTTATCTTTGTTTATTATTTTTCATTTTTTGCTTCAACTTTTTACATAATAACTCATAATTAGCTGTCAGGTTGCTAGATATTCTACCAATTTCTTCTTTTTATCACCATAAGAAATACAAAGGAGCAACCAAAAGGGAGAAGGCATAGTTTTAAGGGTAATTAATTACAGCTGTATGTGATTGGTTAATCGTATTTCATTTTCCCTTTACTTCTAGGTAAATTGGTTTCCAGTCTTTTCCAATCGAATATCATGAAACGCACACGAAGTAATAAACTGTGGGCTGGCGAATACTAACGAGCGCAGACATTCAAATGAACCAGTCAAATTCAAGATAGATAGCCCTCGCCAAGCGTGGGAACGCGCTTATCAGCAAGTTATGTTTTTTTTTTATAAATTCTGATTGGTTGAGAAAGGGGCGCAGGAGTTTATTTAGCCAATCAAAACGCGTAGCAACGCAAACAACGAACACGTTTAATCGCTTTACGTTGTGTTTTTTTTTTAAATTTATTTTTTCCTGTATTCTTCTTTCTTACAGATTCATTGCACAACTGAAGGGAAAAAGTGCACAGAGCATAAGATTCATGCGTTTCCTTCACTTAAACTGTTTAAAGATGGCAGGGAGGTTTGTAGTGGCGAGTCAATTTTAAAAATACGCGTGCTCTAGTCTATAGCTTTCAGTCAAAAAGGGCGATATTTTTATTCGCTCTGACGAAAGGCTAGTGGTCGAACCAAAGCTTTCATTTTTATGCTATTGGTTCACCTCAATGCTCCATTTTTTGCACTAAAATGCTCGATCCCCCCTAAAAAGGTTTCCATAAGGCTCGGATAATGCTCGTCATAAAGACGTTAGACTGCGAGCAGTCTCTCTTTTTCTTCAGATTTAGTGAGAGCAATGCACGCGCGCGGAGCAGCGAAGCCGTGAGACGCGCGAATCGAGGGCAGCAGTCCATGCCTCTCCCGTCTCGTGCCATCAGTCACGCGCGTGGCCATTTGGGCGTTTTGCTCGACGGACTACAGAAAAAAGAGAGACTGTTCGTAGTCTATAAAGACGTTAGATGTAAGATCTGTAAAGTACAAGCGCGATATTTTTGTTTTAGGTGGACAGCTATGAAGGATCACGTTCCCTCGACGATCTTAAGAACTACTTGACTTTGAAGATCTCTGAACACAGCTTGTTAAGCAGTGCAACGACGGAGAATAGCGAAACAGCTGAGGAGATACCTTCTGATGAACTAGACTTACAGGTATTCATGCCGACGTTTCTAAGGCTGTGTTCACACTGTAATCGATACTATTGCGCTAGCACGAAAACCGTACCGGGCAGGGCTTCTGTTCACGCAAAAGAGCGGTGATTTCGGCGCGATTTCTGTAACGGAGCGAAGCTGCGCCGATCTCAAAAGTGGAGCGTCACATATTGGATAAGTTGTGTGCCACACTTTGGTGCTGTTGGAAAAGGTACTCGAACATGGCCGAAATGATTAACTATCAACGAGGACTGGAATCCACTGAGACGGAAGTAAATCAGGAAACCTGGAAGTAAATATTAAGGTTGAAGATTTGGATCTGGGACACCAAATCCTCACGGCCAACTGCTCCGGCTTAACCCTTTAAACCCTGAAAGTGATCAGTGTCAAATTTCTCCTTGTAACATCAATGCTTTGTAAAACAGAGTGGTCATGAGAATTAAGGACATGATCACACAAGATGTATCTGATTGATATTTTATCAACTTCTCCCCACTACTTCTATGGTAAATGAATAGGGGCGACAAATGAGAATTTAATTTTGATCTTAGGGTTTAAAGGGTTAAATGCGATGTATTTGAACGACCTATTCCAGTTCCGGTCTGTTGCTGTGTGTTGTTGAGGTATGGTGTGCACATAGCCTAAACTAATAAACTTTTATAATTTGAATGATTAATAGCCTTACCATTTAAGAAAGTCTTTGGCTTGTTATGCTCTGAGTTTATAGCGGAGAAAATGAATATCTTAGCCTTCGGTGGGATTCGAATCCAACACCTCCCATAATCCGGGCGGTCCCTCGAACCACTGAGCCCACTAGAGGATCATAGAAAGCTAAGCTGTGTACCTTTTTCATGTATGACGCATGTCCTGTAACACTCTGTATGCTGTTAGGATCGTCTGTGTCGAATGCGTCCTTTATGCTCCGTGAATAGGCGACAAAAGTGAAATGTTCATTAAGTTCATCATGTTTCATTTCAGATCAAACCGACAGTAATTTTGATGCAATGATTAGTTTTGGCACAACATTTGTCAAATTTTACGCCTCTTGGTAAGTGTGCTTTACTGGTGGTAACCCTGTTTTGCTTGTGTCTTGGTAAACTTGTTTTGCTTGCTGCTTCCTTTTAAGCACGTCCCCAATCTTTAAGTCCAATTCAAAATATTCTCAACTTTCTCTGGACTTTTTTACGTAAGAATTTCTACTACTTTTACTGTAAAGCGAAATGCTTACAACGTCACCCATTTTTGTTCTTGTTGTCATGGTTACAGGTGCCGTCACTGCCGAGAACTTGCACCTCTTTGGGACCAGCTCGCTAACAAATGCGCAGATAGTTCGTCTGGACCAAGAATTGCTAAGGTTTGTAATTAATTGTTAGAACGGGGTTTAAGAAGAGTATAAAGGCTGGTAGCTGTACAAAAGGAATCTTAACTCGCGCTCAGGGCACATGAAAACGGAGAGTTTTTCTTCAGTTTGATCTACCGTCCACACGTCACCGGTGAAAACGAACGTCGGAAATGCATCTTTTTACAAATGCTACCTCCAGAGGGAAGATTTTTGACAGCGCTGTAATAGGGAGCTTTGTCAACGACGACGGCGACGGTAGCGAAAACGTCACTATTTAAAAGACTTAAGTGTTGGTCGCGATTTTTTCGACTGGTGTAAAATCTCAGTCGAATGTAGGTGAATTTCCCTGGAATTGAATTCTTGGGGACCGCCACCAAGTTTAGAAGGGAGAAAGAGAAATTTGTAGTCTAGTCGGTGTTTACGTCCGCCACGAAACGTCACTTGAGGGAATTTCACGTCGCAGTCGTGCAGTGACGGCAAAGAAATGTACCAAAAAGTGTGCTGCACGTGCAGAGTTGTTGTTTTTCTAATACAAACCTATTTTTTTTTTGCCGTTCTCGTTGCCGTCGCCGGCTTTTGAGAAAAATAACGTCACGGACAGAGAGACCATTATATGGGCATGCACCGATAAGGTGGTATTGTTGTCAGTAACTATGGCGTTTTCGTGTGGACGGGCAAAAGCGATTCAAAAACGCAACGTGTAGACGTCGATTTATTTTTTTTTTGAAAACTGAGAAAAAATCTCTGTTTTCAAGCAAAAACGGATATGTCTGAGCGGGGCCTCAAATTCATTTTGAATCATAAATCATATGCTCACATTAGAAACGTCAAAAAGCCAGCTTTTGAATATCTCTTACCTGTGCCAGGCTCTTAGATAATTGGGAGGTCGCTTAGGTGGCAGGATTTGCGGGGCAGTGCTGTTGTTTTTTGGTGGTGGAGCTGTGAGAAGTTTGGGGGGAAAGCAGAGAAAGTACCCCGCACATAACGATCCGGTCAGTTACGCAGGCTAAGGCCGAGCGAAAGTAGATCGTGCGTGATCTGGGGAATGAGAGCGGTGTTTTGTCTTCCCCGCGCGTTTTTCCCGCCAGTTTTCACCAGCTCTGCACATTACTGTCTTTGACCCTGGAACAGGCCAGATTCTCTTATGGTAGAAAATTTACTCTATCAGCTCAGTTGATAAAACCGTATTTAGTAATTGTTCCTCAATCACGATTTTAATGTGAAAAGGAGCGTAAAAACAAGCTTGTTTACACTGAAAATGGCAAGCGACAGATGGGATGCGTAATTAACAGCGGGTTCTCACACAACGATCACATAGTCTGAAATGTTATCCGTGTCTTCGCTCTACCCCTCAGCGGGTCTCTCTCGCCTTGCCGCCCGTTGGGGATGGGGCGAAGTGACGGATGACAGTTCAGACTAACGATCTCGCGGGAAGTAATAGAGCGTTTTCACATGACGTCATTGCGGCCATTTTGGTGTTCCAAAACAATGAAACGGTGGCCATGTTGGTGTTCCAAACAAATCCTGTAGGAGTTGGACTCTGTTCTTATGCAGGTGGTGTGCGTCACGAGATTCGACCAATCAGAATGTGTTATTTGTGGAGCGATTTTCGCGCTGGGGAAGAGCCGTTTTCAGAGGTGTATATGGTGAAATTTTCGATTTATTCCAAGCTTGTGTAGGTAATTTCCACACAAGGCTATACCGCCGTGGTTGTTGGTTGTTGGAACACTTTACCTTGATGGTAGTTAAGTTACTTTTAGATATTTTGCTTTCTTGAGCGTTTGTGACAAATTTGAATTGCTCTGTCATGTGCACGTCGCCATGATGATTCGAGTCTTGTTTTTGCCGTCCTTCTTGGATTCATTGCTGGTTACTGTTAAGAACGTATCTAAATTTGCATGTCTAGCCTCTCCCCATGTAACAGAATCAGGATTCCGGAATCGGGGAAATTTTTGCTTGTGGAAACGCCAATCCTGGGCTTTGGAATCCGGGATCCCACTAACGATTGAATCCGGAATCCAAGTTCCACTGACAAAGAATCCGGAATCCCGTACATGGAATCCGGAATCCTGAGTCCAGGGCGTGGAACCCAGAATCCACGATTGTCTAGGATTCCCTTCTAGTCTATTTGGTAACAAAATCATTTCAGTCGAATCTATTGTAGGTGTACATGTAGCAGCTCACGACTTGGACATTCCGTGGATTATAATTAAAGGCATTTCAGAGTACAAAGATGGCAGAAAATCCGGTACAGATTGCTGGAAAAAGTTCGCGAGTTTAATGGCCGCCTCTCTCACCGTTCATATCCTCAGTGATCCGATGGTTTTTCGAGACTCGCCCCACTATACTGAGACAAGTAAGTACTACAACAAACTACCCGCGACTGGAATATGTCACTTGTGTTCACCCCTTTAATTTGTCAGTGGAAAAGCAAGTTGAATAAATCTGTTTATCTGATTACCTGGTCAAATAAAGGAATAAACAAATAAAAAAGCAACATCAAAACGGAACAAAAACAAAAGAAAAGAAAAAAAGAAAAAGAAAAATTGTTCTTCAATGATCCTGTACATATGTACACATTACCTATGAGATGGACCTGGCATGGGTTCTCTCGGAGTATTTGCCTTTCAAAAATTGTAAATGGTTGTCACTCAGTCAAACATATTTAAGGTTTTTCATGATTTTCACGTGTCAGCACACACACAGTTATTGTACTCAAAGGTTCAGAGTGGACCATAGTAGACATCCGCTCGATTTAAAGGGTTTTGTTAATTTTGCATGTCTTTATAGAGAGGTCTGGGTTCGAAATTAGGCAGTAGGCATTTAAGGAAATGTAGAATGTTTGGACAGTTTTGACGATGAATGTAGGCTTGACCGCGGTAAATGCGTTTTAAACGTAAACAAGGATCTTCTTACTAAAATAGCAAAGCTAGCCAAACATTAGCCTGCATGTCAGGTACCGGTTAGTCATGGTTTCAATGGCTTTCAGATGGTGAACTTTTTGTGTTATTTGAAAAGGGATATCAGAAAACGATTGCCAATTTGAACGATCCTTCTGACCGCAAGTACATTTTAGGAAGAAGTTGTATTTAGAGAAAGGAAAAAGTGGAATAGTATTAATCTGAATGAACTGCAAAAGTAATGTGTAAGGTCATAATTTGCTATGAATCTGGGATCATCAACAGTTCATGCCATTAATTCGCCCCATGTGAGGGAATCCAAGACAGTCTTGGATCCACCCCGTGGATTCTGGATTCCAGGTACTGGTTTCCGTACCATGATTTTTTATCAGTTGAACTTGAATTCCGGATTCTAATCTCATTAGAGTGGGATTCCGGATTCTTTGAGCTGTATTCAAGATTCTAAGGCCCATGACAGCGGATTCCACTATCAAAAATTCCCTGGATTCCGGAATCCGAATTCCCTTACATTGGGCGACATTAATCGCTGCAAACTCGCCTTAAACTGTATTGTCTTCAGTCCTTATGACTAAATCACTCTGTGCTAACTTTTTTTTTGTTAAACGTCTTCTTGGAGGGTAGAACTTAGCGCATTTTGGTTTTCACTGACGGGTAGTTCTTGTTTTTTTGTAGCTGAGTAATTAAGCTGTAGTAGCTTGTAGAAGTAATAAGAAACCTCCGCATCAAAATGGTTTGTTAGCCTCCTGCAAATAGTACATCCTCCTTTTATATTCTGTCTGGGTAACATCCCCACAACACTAACAACTTTTTTTCAACAGGTTAATACCAGGTGCAGATGGATCGGCGTCTTCCTAACCTTTATCAGTCCATCAGTTACAGATTTTTAGTTTGAATTATCCTCTTATTTCATCCATTAGTTGGTTTGTAAATATTTTATGTCAACAAAAGATCGATGTCTATAAAATTTGTAAATAGACGTTCTTGTTTGATGATGTTGCTTGAAAGAGTTCAAAGAAAGGCGGCACGTTTTTTACCTCCAGAATTACAACCGAACAGCTAGCATTACAGATATGCTTAGAGAGCTGGAATGGGATACTTTAGAAATGAGAAGAAAGAAAGACAGATTATTATCACTAATGTACAAACTGAGTCATAGTCTTGTAGATATTAAAACAAGGACACGTAGGAGCCATGCCTTGAAATATAGAAGGTCTCTTTTTCCCTTAGATCCATATGTGGTTGGAATTCTTTGCCTTCAGCGATTGTAAATTCTAAGTCACTTGACTGTTTTAAAACAAATTTACCTGCCAAGTGTTTTATTTCTTAAAAACAGTAAGTGTAGTGTGATGTCCAATCGACTTTACCGACGTAATGAAGTGTAGATTTAGAAGTAGATCATTTGTGTGTGCTCTTTTCTTTTTGAAAGTTTTACATTCTTTTTGTTCGGTGTCAGACTCAAATCAGTTTCTTGCCTAGTTAGAATTGTTTACTCATGTTTAATGAACAAGTAGGAGTGCTCCATAAAAAACCGTTTCTCTAGATCTCTTCATTTTTTCCACAAATCGGAACATTTCTGTATTAATTTTCTCCACAGAATTCGAGGTCAAACTCATCTGAACAGTAAATTTTTTTTAATTTCTTTTTTCCACTTTTTAAAACGAATTATTAGTTAGCCGTTTTTACAGTAAGGACACATTATCCGTCTGGACGAACTTAGGCAAACATTTGTAGTTCGTCTGGTTATGCGTGTCAAGTATAAAGACGGGCACAAGACGCACAATGCGTTTGAACCCGTTTTCATACTTGAGACGCATAACCAGTCAAACTACAAATGTTTGCCTAAGTTTAACCTGAGATCAGGCCCAATTTTAGCGGCTCTCATACATTCTTTCTATCTTCCTTAGTATAAGAACGGCCAATGTGTTTTTTCAGGATAGTTTATTTTTTTAAAAAGAATCTATTTAACAAGTTTGATGGATTTCTACTATTCTCGAATAGCAAGTTATACTTACCTGGCACCTTGAGTGGTTTAGTTAGAAACTTTTTCTTTTCAATTTATTATTTAGTTAACGAGGACATTAATCAGTATTCTAAATCCTAAGA